CTTTGTGAAGCCAGCACGCACTATTCCGTTCCTGGGTTGTTATTAATCCGTTCAGCTCGGATTTCGCTCTAATACGACCCCCTTTTTATTATTCCGTTCGGGCTGAAGAGCGCTCTAATACGACCCCCTTTTGTAATCCGAAGACAACATTAGGGACTACAGGGGTAAGCGAGTCTCAAAGTACATATTCAAATGTCTTGAGGGAGTTGTCAAAACCCACGAAGCTTTTGCCTTCTTCTTCTGGGTTGATGCTTTGGTTACCACGTAGTTTTGGACAGTGCCTGGGTTCATAAGGCTTTGGCAAGGAAGCCCTGCTACGAAGATTTGGAGTACTTCTGATGGATCGCATTGGGTGGAATGAGCTGGCGATTACAGGTTTCAGAAGTCCGCATTTGATACTACAATACGTACATTCTCTCTCTCTCTCTCTCTCTATCTCTCTCTCTCTCTCTCCCTCCCCCTTGAAACATGCCATGACATGCCATTCAAGCAGTAATTCAAGCAGTACTTGTGCATACGAAGCCATGCCCCTGTGCCCATTGCATGGCAGGAATTCCTGCGCTGCAATGTCATGGGCAGGAGGATCGCCACACATCTGCACCCAGTGCAGCCTCTGCGTGCCCTTTTCAGAAACCTGCTGGAAGGCGCTGTCTTGGTGACTGTGGTATTTTGTTACACTTGAGGCAGGCTCCCAGACCACCAGCACCCACGAGTATCAGCAGCAACCCCCTCTTTTGGATGACCAGCGCTCCCAAGGTATGGTTTCCGCTGCAACAGCGCAGGAATCAGCCAACTGGCTCAGACGGCAGGGCTGCGACGTCCAGTTCAGATGCCACGCAGGCTGAGGGAATGCCTTGGGTCATGCGTGTCCCAGTATATAATTGGGGTTATATAGGGGTTGTATAGGAAGAAAAGAACATGGAAACTACTATCATGGGTCATGTAGAGTTCTGGAGTATCTACTCATCAACGTCAGCCGCCCAGAGCTTCGAAGGTGTCGGGCATACCATCTCGGACGAAATGGCTTCTGAGGCACGTTTCTGGAAGCTCGCTGCACTTTGCAACTCAGCTTAGATGTGTCGCCCTGCCCAAACAGATTGGTGTCTGGCTGCGTGAGCGGCTTTGTCCTGAAGACGAGATAGCCTGCGAGAAGAATTTGGAGGAGGACGGACATTTGATAGCTGCTGCAGCAGTTCCAGCCTTTCCCATGTGCAGCACTTGCAAAGCCCAGTGACAGTGGGTTGGATCTCCACAATCTCCACATTCAAAATTCTATTGGTGGTTAGTAGGGAATGAGGGAATACATGATAGAGGGACTATCTAGGGATCATATCCGCTTATTCCCTACGAAGCACCCGCAAAAAAACTGTATCATCCTAATCCCCTCCCCCTAAAATCACCCCCCCCACCCCCCTAATATTCAATACTCCCAATCTATTACAGTATGCCACAATGGGGAGTATGTAATATTAGGGTGGGGGGGGTGGAGGGGTTTAACATAAGGGGGAGGGGATTGATGCTGGACGTTGAGCCTTTACCCTAAACCCTAAACCCCTAAACCCTAGACTCCTAAACCCTAAACCCCTAAATCCTAAGGGGATTAATGCTGGACCTTGAGCCTTTACCCTAAACCCCTAAAGCCCTAAACCCTAGACTCCTAAATCCTAAAACCCTAAACCTCTAAACCCCAAACCCTAAACCTTAAAACCCTGAAACCCTGAAATCCTAAAACCCAAAACCCCAAACCCCAAAACCCTGAAA